AAATCTGCATTTTTATAGCAAAAAAAATGTTCTTCAACAGGCTAGACTTTCCTTTCGCTACTACAGTTTGATAGGAAAAAAAATGGGAAAAACTCATTYCATTCATGTAAGATACTTAAGTCAAAATGTTATATAATCTTCGTGATAGATAGAATCGAATACTTAGATTTGACGAGAGAATTGCATTATAAGGCGAGCAGTGTCATTGCATTTCAATGTCATTTTCAGAAATATGCTGATTATCTAGTTGTTCTTCCATCCCTCTAGCTATCTCTTTTGATATCTCCCCGTGCATCTGTATTCAACAACCTTAAGATTTTATTTGATTCTTTCCCCTTATTTTCCCGTTATATTTTTTTGTATGTTAACGAATAGCACGTTTGCATAATGGCGTCATTGACCTCTATTACCAGAATCCCTTGCACACTTTCTTTGTGATACTATTCTCATGAGAGTATACAAATTTAAATAAGGAAGAAAATTCGCGAAGCATCTTGGTAGTGGGAGTCAAATTTTGCATGCTATTTGGCTTAAGGATTTCATGACTTTTATGTTTCAAAAAGCTTCCTGCATAATAAGATGCAGTAGACATTTGATTCGGCCACGTCAAACATGTGTGCCTTGAGCATCGTTTATCGAGATGAAGGGATTTAGAAAAGTACGCTGTTTCTCCAAAAGGAAATAACATTTTAAAAATGATCATTATATATGCAATCTTTGTTAAATAAGCTTTTCGAACATTTATACTTTGTTGGGATTTCTTTGAATATTTAAAAACGCTCTACGCGAACTCAAAGCAAACGACCTATTTGTGTTAGCCGATACCTTAAAAACCTTTCTTGCGGATTAGGCCATTAACACAAACTGCAAATAGTGTTCTTATTGTGTTGAAGAGATAAGGCTAATCGCTCGCCATCTATGGCTTCATTCACAAAACATCTTCATCAAAATATCATATAAAAGGCGTTATTTAAAGATCGATCCGATGTTTGTTTATTTAACTTATCCCATGATCAACATGAAGGTCCATAAAGTTTAGCGATAAGATGATCTGGTAATCTTTTTCTTCTTAACTATTTCATCCACACTGTTGCCAGAATGTGATAATTCCATGTTTGTGCTGTAAAAAATACTCATTCGTAACACTTAAATGGCTTCTCAATTTAAAATATATTTCATGTTTTTGTGCACAAAATTTTTTTTTTCTTTAGGCATTTTATGGAGGCACTAAAAGGGCTTTTAAATTTAGAATATGTATTTCAAACCTTTGTAAAATGGTTTATTGTTTAAACATTTTTTAAAAAGTCATTATAAAGCCGCATAGAGAGGCATTAAAATTGCTTCTTACGAAAGTTTGCACTAAAATGGCTTCTAAACATAGAATATATTTTAAAATTTTTGAGAACCCATTTTAAGGCGAGTTGAAGAGGCACTAAAATGAAGCTGTGTTGGTTTGCACTTTTTTTTAAATGGCTTCTCACGAAACACTGTTTGTGTGCACCAAAAAGACCCCCCAAATTTTAACAAAATATTTTACGTTTTTGTGCATGAAAATGGCTTCTTGCTTTTAAATTGTTAAAAAAGGCGCCTAGAAATGCATTAAAATGTGGCTTCTCAAGAAACTGAATTGGTGTGCTCTAAAGTGGCTCGTAAATTCAAAATATATTTTATGTTTCTGAGATAGAAGGCATTTAAGTTCGCCAAGATGCCACTAGAATGGCTTCTCGCGAAACTTGGTTGATTGGCACTAAAATGGTTTCTTACGCAATTGAAAGGTTTCATTATAGCTTTTATGCACTTCAAAAACTTTTTTTTAAATAGTATCCCCCCCCTTTTATTTGGCTAATATTATCATGGATAACTTATTCGATCTACTCAAGTTCTTTAGTTACCTTTTTGCCACTTCAATGGGTTGAATAGTTTCATGTGACACTGGATAACTAGATAGTCTTTTTGCCGGACACTGAAATGGCTTCGTAAAAAGCTTCAAGTTTAATTCTTTCCTGAAATCAAAAGTGGGTTCAATCCATGGAAAAAAGTAGAGAATTTCCTGTGATATAAATCGAGCAAAGGAAAGGGAAAATCTGAAAAAAAGGACACCATCGGCAAACCAATATTTTTCCGGGCGCAAAAGAGAAAAAAAATCGAAGTATATGATGTATATGTTTTCAGTATGCGAACAATTTAAATTAAAAGAGAATAAACAAAATAATACTAAAAGCATCTGCTCCCTCATTCATTATCTTGAAAATGAAAAACACGTTGATTGGCTTTTTTGCCCCGGTCCCTTTTCGATTGGTGCTCTAATGAACTTCTAAATGGGTTTTCTAGGCAAAGAACATCTAAATGGTTTTCCGTGCTTGTTGACCAAATTATAAATGGATTTCACATGCTGTCTAAAATTCCTGATAAATGGCTTCCAAATTTACACAGACATCGAAATGGCTTTTGATCGTTTAACAACAGCCAAATACCTGCCATTTAAAAGATTCCCAGTATTTTTCAACAAAAAAATTCGTACCAATAAATTATGGGTGTCAAGATGTTAGCCGGAATTTCAATTATTTTTATATTGACAAACATATGAATGGCTTTCAATAAGAACTACTAATTAGTAAATGGATCCTTAACGTTGCTTAACACTCAAATGGCTTTTTGAAATAACTTCGCAGACAAATTGCGCATTCGTTTGGATTCCAAGGAATACCTTCTTCATGAGCAGTTATTTATTTTCTAATTTATTGGCGGGGAATTGCTGACATTTTTAAGGAAGTTTATAAAGCTGGCTGGGAATGCTCTTGTTCGACTAGTTACTTTCTTATCGTACCGCCACGGTTCAGTTGGTAAGATAGTAGGTCTGTTGTGCAGGAGGTCGTGGTTCAAGCCTCAGCCGGACCAACTTTCAGGGTCTTAAAACAACTGAGGACAAGGTGCTGCCTTTGTAATAACAACTACAAATGGTTAGACCTTCACGTGGCTCGGATGACCACGCAAAATGGCGGTCCAGTCCCTCCACACTTCATCATTACTAACCAATATGGGAGGGACGTAAAAGGACCACTGAGGATGTAAAGAAACCCTGGCAGTGACCATCCGCAGTGTCTACACCTAGTAATAACTCACCTATCATTCATAACACAATGTAAAACGCTTTTGAAGGTATCCATATGGAAAAGAGCGCTATAATAAAAATTATTAAAAGAATTCATTATCAGAACTTTGGATTTTGCCTACGATCCGCCATTAGAGAGAATTACCTACTCGACATTGTACCGGCTCTCGTACGTAAAAGATAATCCAACTTCAAAAGTATTTCCCAGCGACTAGAATCTTAACTCTCTCAAAATAATAGCAAGATTATGTGGAAGTTATCTCAAACTTTAAGCCCGAGCTCTTAAAAAATATTTTTCTGTTGACCAGACAGTCTAAGTAGAAGAAGAAAGAAATAACGGTTTTTAAGAAGTTTAGCGCGTTAAGTCTAAGACGATAATGAGTGACTATCAGGTTACCTTRATCAGTGTTCTAAGATTGAAGTTCAATTCCGGTGAGTGATTCATTGGAATATTCCTTGTGTTGCATAATCCACCACAAAACTCACTTTAATATGGTGCACATATCAAGCTCATTTCACATATTGACATTCTTAACACGGATGATTGAATTAATAGATTCGTTATCTTTGTTTCGCGCGATCTATAGACACTGAATGAAACAAGTTATAAGAAAAGAACAAATGAAATACAATAAAAGGTAAAAACGTGGGACTGTTAATACGCCGAATGGTAATATTGCTACCAATTTGAATAAACTGTTGTTCTTCACTGACTAGCAACTGACTATCCTTGTGTTCACGTGGAGGCTAGTCAGTCGCTGGTCAGTGAAGAGCAATAGTTATTCAAATTGGTCGCTATATTTCGATCCGTTTTATAACTTTGACTGAACTCCTTCAATACTCCTTTATACAGTTCCATTCAGTGACCACAAATAATAGTTCCTAGCCGAGGCTGGAGTTTCCGCGCATAGCAAAACTACAATTTATCATGCGCGGTAACTCCAGCCTCGGCTAGAAACTATTATTCGTGGTCACTGAATGGAACTGTGAAAAGGAGTATTCGGACCTCGACCGATTTTGCATTTATTTTACTGACTCATACACAGTGAAGTTCGCGTGCGGTTATGAACAGATGTAAAACAGATTGTTTCTACACGAATAGCGTTTTAGATTATCCTCCTCCACACCCCCTTTCCCCAAGCGTTTTTTTAACCTGCCATAGGGCAACTCACAAATTAAATTAATCGACAAAGCATCAAAAGCCTTGAGCAAAATAAATATTAATAACCCGACTTTTAAGCACTCGAATGGATTGTATCTAGTAAAGATGTTCTAGTTAAGTAGTGAGCACTTTAGTAAAAAAGCCCATTAAAAACTGCACTGACTTAATGCATTTCTTTAGATACCAGTCATTATTAAAGTCGAAAGAAGGTGGGGGGGTGGGGGTTAAGGAGAAAAGTGTGGGCCCTCAAATTTTCTTTAGTGAAACTGAAAATGGGGGTCTTAAAGGTCAAAAAGAAGATTGGGAGGGTTGGAAAGATTTTTAAACGATTGAAGGGGAGAGGGGGGCGGCAGGGGGCACCCGAAAAACGTGAATGCTATGAGGTTGGGGTCTTGAGAAGTTTTTGAATCAAAGCCATTTTCTCAAATTCTAATGCGATCAACTCGTTTTAAGTCGTTTTTAATTATATTATTTTTTGTTTGAGATAATTCCTCTTTAAGACCGATGGATGGACGGACGGACGGACGGACGGACGGACAGACGGACAGACGGACGGACGGACGGACGGACGGACGGACGGACGGACGGACGGATGGATGGATGGATGGATGGATGGATGGATGGATGGATGGATGGATGGATGGATGGATGGATGGATGGATGGATGTCAGCTTTATGGTCAAAGTATCAACATACTTCTAAAGGTATTTTTTCTTTCTCCAACAGTATCCAGTAAATCACAATGTCAAACAATACGCTAAACTTCACGACTCCAAGCAGCAGTATTCAGCCTGGAACCAGCTGTGAAGCCAGGATGAATCAAGCAGCACGAATCGGGCTGACTGTTGCGCATGTCTTGGTCCTGCTAGCCGCTGTCACAGGCAACTCCTTCGTCATTCACTTGATCCGTACCAAGAATAAAATGAAAGTTTCCTTCAACTTCCTTGTCGTCAACATGGCAATAGCCGACATGATAGACGCCATTTTCTCCGTCCCTAACAACATTGCCTATCTTTACGTAGAAGTTCGTTGGTTTCCTGGATTTTTTGGCTTATTTCTTTGCAAAGTGTCAAACTTCATAATCCTCGTCTGTATATTGGTATCAACTACGACTATGACTGTCATTGCAATTGAGCGTTACCTAGCAACCACCAAGGTTCTCAAGCGACCGCTGTCTCTTCCAGCTGTCAAGCTAGTGATTGCAGTCATATGGATATTGGCGGGGTTAATGTCGGTTACTGAACTGATCAGGATGGACCTGGTTTACTTGTATGGCCAGTACTTTTGCTCCATTCACAGCGACTGGCGAAAGTACCTTATTATTGAGATGGTTATAAAGTTCGCCATCACTTACGCGTTTCCGGTTTGGACCATGACCATTCTCTACTCCATCATCGTCTGTCTACTGTGGAAAAAGGCTCCCGTTGGGGAAGAAATAGACGAGTATAACCGTCGACTTCACAAACAGAAAAAAGGCATCATAAAGAAACTCGTTACCATAGTAATCATCTTTGCACTTGGTTGGCTTCCTGTTCATATCATGCATTTTATAGGCGCSTTCAATACTGACATTTACATGTGTGTGCCTGAGTTTATCAAACTTATATTCTTCTGGTTAGCGCATGCCAATAGTGCTATCAACCCTTTTTTGTACTTGATGCTGACCAAGAACTCGCGAGCTCTCTTCAAAGCTCACATCTCTGGGATTATACGAGGAGAAGGCAGCTCCGGTCGAGGGAGTAACAGAAGAGATAAACAGAGGGCTCACAGTTTATTGATGTGGAAAAGAAGTTCAAAGAAAACTACTAAGACGGTTGTTATATAGAAACTTCTGACTAATTCAAATATTTATTCAATCATTTAACTGTATATATATCAGCACTGTGACGTATGCATGTGGGACCTTGAGTGATTTCGTATATACARTATTTTAAAGCATAGAATCAAGGGGGAAAATAAGATGAGAAAATAAGAAAACTGGACGTATAACACAGGTATTCGGACTCAAGGTGAAGGTAGAGAGAGCGTGACGGGTAGAAGGATATTGTTAAGACTTTGTAGTAAGAATTGTAGTGACTAGAGTGTAAAGAAGTATGTGGTAAGAGAGTAACAGAAGACTATATATGTAATACAAACAAAAATAAAAAGATATTAATGATGATAGTAGTGTAAATAAAGATTTAAAAAAGTTGAGAACCCAACCAAAGAAATACTGAGCGTGGTAACCCTGTGTCCTAATTTATGCATACATAGCGTAACATCATTTCTAGGAATTCAAAGGTCACGCTCATTTCCAAGAATCGCCTGATTGTTCACAAACAACATTATTCAACCAACTCCCTCGACTCTTATCAACATGGAATCGTTTGTGGACGATCTTAAGAATGAGGTCCAATGTTCTTTGTGTAATGATACACTCACAGAACCAAAGATCTTGCCTTGTTTTCACACATTTTGCAAGACTTGTATTAAAAAACACGCAGAGCTGATCGACGAAGTCAACATCTTCAAGTGTCCTCGATGCAAATCACAAACTTCTCTACCAGAACCTAGTAGCGTAGAAGATTTACAGTCAAGTCTACTTCATTCAAGAATCTTGAAGGGTCTGGCGTTGGTAGAAGGAGAAAAGGTTTGTTCTGTTTCTGAGAGTCATTCTCCAGCATCTTGGTATTGTTTTGATTGTGATCGCTCGATTTGCGAAGAATGCAAGAAGAGCCATTCAGAGTTTATCAAATGTCACAAGGTCGTTCGTCTTGCTGATTTGAAGAAAGAAGATATTGAGTTCATAATAACAAGAGAGAATCCTTGTAAAAGTCACCCTCATCACAGGCTAGAGTTATTCTGTGAAGACTGTGATGACATGATTTGCTTGACATGCTTGAAACACGATCACAAGGATCATAAACCGATGTCTTTAGATAAGTTTGCTTCGATCAAGAAAGCTGTATTGTCAAAGCATCTGCAGGTACTAGAGCAGTTGAGATTAGATGACAAGAAGAAGCAACAACAAGAAGACATTGCTAACACAATCAAACAACAAGGAGAAAAACCAAAAAAAGAAGTGAAAGACAAAACCAAGAAGATCATCGAAATGCTGCAAGAAAACGAAAGAGAATTGCTGAGACAAATCGATGAGAAGTTGGACACAGCCACAACAAACTTGAATATAATTCATAATATTCCAGCCGTCAAGGGATATATCAAGAATGTGATGGAAAGAGGACTAGCAAGTGAAATGATGAACATTCAAGAGACACAATGCTCGGGGAATTTCATCTTCAACCACATTTTACCGTCTTCTCGAGTTGAGTTTGCTCCTAACGAACAGCTGGTGCAAGAAGTGAATTCAGGGCTAGGAGAAATAAAAACTTATTTGAAAACAGACCACACGGAGAGCACGATTGAAGTGAAATCTGAGACAGAAGCTTTAAAGAAGGAAAAGCTAATATTGACAACTAAAAGCTCTACAGGAGAACTCAATCATGATCCAAGGGATGTCATAGACGTACAAATCACACCTGAAAAAAATGTGAAAATAGAAAAGAAAGATGTGAGAACTGATGGTAAAGTAGAAGTTGAATTCATGGCTAAAGTACCTGGTCAACTGACAGCAGAGGTTCAAGTGAATGGGAATCATGTATCTAACAGTCCACTAGTGGTGAATGTCAAGCCACAAGAGATGAGAACAACAGGACAGTTTAACATGAAAGGGGTAGATATAGGATCTAGTTCGTTGACAGTTATAGCAGTAAGCAGAGACAACACCAGGATCGCTGTTGCCAATTGGTCTTCTCGTTGTGTCCATGTATTCGCCTCTGATAGAGATCTCTTACGGACGTATGATGGTCCAGGTAGTGCACAGGGACAGTTGTCTAATCCTGGAGGTTTAGCATTTCTGAATGATACAGATTTAGTCATAGCAGACTTTGGTAATCATAGAATATGTATAGTGAACACTTCAACAGGGACATTGGTAAATACCTTTGGTAACCAAGGTAACAGTGATGGAGAGTTTCGTTATCCACACGGAGTACACGTTGATGACGATGGTAACATCATTGTGTGTGATACTGATAATCATCGTGTTCAAGTCTTCACAAGAGACGGTGAGTATCAATATCAGTTTGGTTTGACAACACAGGACAAGTTTAATCCATATGATGTAATCACACATGATGGACTGTTTTACGTCAGTGATCGCAGTAATCACGTTATTCATGTATTTGAGAAGAAAGGTWACGTACCGACTAGAATATCGACAATCGGTGGTAAAGGCATTGCTGATGGTGAGCTGAATGGACCATTGGGCCTGGCTATTGATAATGACCATCATCTACTGGTGTGTGAT